CCAGAGATCAAATCAAGGAAAGTTCAATTCATTGTACCAGTAGGTATATCACCTAAAGAAACTACTGTATTGTCTTGTGTTTGGGAATTTTGTGGAAATCTCATCGTTTCCGTTAAGTAACGGCCGAGTCAATTAAAAATAAAATAGTCGATGATATTTCATTATGTTTCCTTAGGGCTTTCGTAATATCAAAATCATCATAACATCATAAATATTTTATAATGATGTAATTCGAAACAACATCAAAATTGAAGTCATTACTGTACTCGTGTTTTTTTAAGGAGAAAAATAGCATCGGTGAATTACTTGGATGAGTTGGCAGAATAATTCCATCATTACCTCCATCTCAATATTGAAAAATCCTTTACTGCCTCGTGTAACTAATGACCGTTCCAGTTGAAATGCGAGACACATTCGAGATAGAACTCACAGAGTTATCGATTTCCTCTCGGGGTTCATTAACTATCAAATACTGCACGTGTTTTCCTGGAGCACTGTGACGCTAACAAAATCATGTCAAAAATTCAGGGAGGACTTTGAAATTATTCGACACAGGTAATTCTGGGTGATTCAATAGATTCAGGCTTTGATGCTCTGAGAACAGAGGTATAATATTATTATAGTATGCAGATAATCTGATGAACTGAGATAATCCCTTGTGATATTGTTCATGAATTGTGAATCCAATTGCCGTTCGAAATATTTCTCAGTTCCCAATGCCAATGAAATCGAGTTGAATAGGAGTTGATGTAATATTGAAAATTGAGTCATCTTGAAGAATTCATTGGGAATGAATGAAATGTGCGAATCAATTTTTCTTTTTCACGCTCGAAGACTCCACACTTTGCCTTTATCATAGAAGAACACACTCCAAATAGTACAAACGCGCGAATTCGTGAATTCACTGAAGTTCGACTCGAAAAATCACCTAAACATCATTCGTGTGTTGGAGGAATTGTTATTCTCATTTCACCCAACTATTGGTTATAATTTGATTGATGAGGAGGCATTAGGTGAACTGTCGAATGGGCTTTTAGCTTCAGAAGATTTCATGATGCTGATCTGAAGAAATTGTTTGAGGTTCATGAAGACTCAATCAACATAAATTTCATGTTCTTTTTTCCACAACTGCCGTTATCTCTTTAGTGAGTAAGTAATCAAGTGGGTCTCAGTAGCCCCCTCATCCGGTCTACTTCGGAAATAGCTCCAAACACCCTGAACTATCCCATCCATTAGGAAAAGGATCATCATTGTTGGGAGCAGATAGATAGTATGATGGGATGATATTGGAATCCTCCTAATTGATTGTCTATACCAGGACGTCTCACTTTGACGACCGATTAAAAACATATATGAAATTCAGTCTATTCTTTCCTCTCTCAAATGAATTGTATTTTTATTAATAAGTTGCCTTGAATTTCAATTCTCAGGTTTTAGTTTCAGTTTGAACATAAGCTATTGATTCAAAATCTGATTTGTACGGTACCTATTCCAAATATTCTGTTTCGATAGACAACAAGGGCGGATCCAGCACTTGCGGCAAGGGGTAGGGGGGTCAGGGGCTTGATAATGACAATGTTTTTCAAACTGTGCCATTATCTTCAGCTTGTTCACCAATTTCTCAGTAATCTCCTAAAACTGGTGGAATCTTGATCTCCTTTTGTCAAATTTTCGAGGCGAAATTGGAAATGAAGGATGATCCATGTTTGAATGATGATGTCCGCGTTAATTTTTTCAGATAAAAAACCCTATGAGTATATACGTTCAATTCAATTCTTGGAATCTCCCTTTAGAGCTGAATTCAACATTGAACGACTTGTTTTCAAAATAAGTACATACAATCAGCACATCGATATGTTACAGCTCAACGATTACGCGGCTACGTGAATTACTAAACAACTACAAAGTTCCGAATTTTTCAGAATCAAATCACAGAATTAGACTGACAGATATTTGACTCTTTGTAAAGAACGATGAAGATGCCTGCAACGCTGGTGCAATATCAGTTTATAAAACTGCATATTCCACGACGATAATTCTCTGATTACAAAATAGTTCAATATCGTCCCAATATTGATTCGCTTTTTTCAGTCAGTGAAACTAATACTGTATAATACACAGAAAATGTTATAGATTGTAGTTCCCGGTTTTGTTTCCCTCCGCCACGCTTCCGGGGACAACACAAACTTGAACTCAATCAATACTTTTTACTATGTATGATGAATATAGCTTTATCGTGTCATTGAAGATCAAGAAATTATTACATGAAATCTTCAATAAAAATTATTAACATCATAAATGAACCAAAACCTACAAAACCTTAGTTACTCATAATACATTAGTTACCATTATTTAATAGTTACGAAAGCATGGTACGTCAGATACCAAATAATAGAACTAGTTTTCATGAACATGTGGAACAATATTTCGACAGTTTCCAAATTTGATAGACCACTCCTCTGCCTTAAGCGTCCACGATCATAGGTATGTCCTCTGAAGCATGATTAATGACCGACCAATAGTAGAGTGCCAAACGAATCGTAAGTCGCTTAGATCAAAAGTTGGTGGGAAATCGGAAGTAAAAAGCTGTTACATGCCTAGAATTGTTACCTACCATCTCCAGATTATGGATCCACTTGTAGTCAAAAAATCGTCCTGTGTTTTTGGGGGGTAGGGGGTAATTTATAAAAAAATATGGATATTTTTTTTATTCGTGGAAAATATTGTTGGGTTCCAGAACTTCCACCCTGTTGAATCTTGATTTCGTGTGACAATTAGAACAAATTATAGAAAATTTTGAAATTCACCAATTATTACGATACACGAGAAAATCATATTTCAAACGGCTATAACTCGAAATTTCGTATAATTGCTTTTCATATACCTCGCATTATCTCAGTAACTACAACGTTTATCAAAAAAATACTTCAGATAATGTCGATGCGCCTATGTTTCAAGATGCGAATAGTCCTTCGATTCTGAAAATCTGAGCATAAATAAGGGAGATATTGGGAAAATCATAATCCAATGCAGGTAGTACGAAGGACCGCGATTCGCCGCTTTCATACCCCGATTCTTCCCGCAACGCCCGCGGTCGTCAAAATACGATCACCGTAAATATGAATTACTGAGTGTTTCAGAATTAGGAATAGTACGATCTTGGAATTCACGGGAGGAATGAAATCGATCGCTATTTTCCAAGTAAACAGAAATGTCTTTGGACTTGCTGTTTGATTGGAAGTGACCCCAATTTAATTTATGAATGATTTTATCTCCATTCCATTCTCCAGGCTCATATGCAATGTATTTTGTTATATTGTGTCACTCTGTTATAGGACGAGCTTCTAAAGTTCTGTCTGTTGAGTGACCGTGCTTATTGAATGGATAAAAAAAATACCTCCTTCAGCATCAACAAGATGATTTGCCAAAGATCTTTTAACGCAATGACCAGTATACATATAAGGATTTACAAGTGAGAGATACTCAGCTACTTAGAGGAATTTCAGAGAATAAATCAATGCCGCAGGTTTGTACCGTACATTTCCCTTTTATGTATAATACAAACAATCTTCGGTGAGTAACATAGACTGGCCACAATATTGCGTACTTTTTGAATAAAAGCACAGGATTGACTCCGCCGTCAGATACCACAGCGAAAATCCGTTTCTTGTGGATTTTGAGTCGGGAATAGTAGCGATCAGCTTGTCTTCTAAAACGTGGTTATCTTCGCTAATTCATTGGTTCGAGAGGCTTCTTCAATTCCAAATAAAAAAGCCACTCTCATCATTGAAAATTCCTCGTCTGGGGCAGAACGCACAAACTCGTTGACTTGCCCTCTTGATGTGAATACTTTTGGTTTTTTTTTGCTCTATATCGAACGTTTTTCTCCTTTATGAAACGTATCAAGGTGCCGTATTTGTCAATCTCCACTCTTTTCTTCAGTTCTGAAGTCGCTTGTTACATGGAATATTTCGGCCATAAGGATCACGCAGAATATTCCTCAGAGAGTTTTGCGAAATACGCTAGCAACACCTTCCTTTTTGAAGTCAATTAAACACTTTCATGGACACCACGAAGACCAATTCCTTTGTAGTAGTATGTGCACTGAGAAAACTGGCCGAGTGAATCGTTTTCTCGACAAAAAAAAGACGATTGTGACTAGTGAATTCCCACCCACGGAAGTAGAATGAGGTACTTCAAGAAGGCAAAACCATATTTCTGGAACAATGTTTCTACTGTAATTCATGAGGACTATTATTGATATCAACCAAATCAATATACAGGGTGTTTCATAAGGAGACTCACATAGCCAAATGGTTAATATTACAGAAATGATTCATCGTGATCTGCTGAAATTTGGCAGCGACGTATCTCTACTGAAACTATTCAAGATAACATATCAGGAAAAAAATATCCAGGTCCAGACTTGGGAAAATTTCATGTCTCATTGTTATGTCTAAAAAGTTTACTTTGTGACCACTCTTCTCGAAAAATTCCATCAGATTCAGAAAGATGAAACTAATAGGTATTTCACTTGTTGAACACCGGAAACAACTCTTCGAGTTATACCACTATCAGGTACAGTTCACACTTCACAGTACCACAGTTTGTAGTTAAGTAGGTACTTACACTAAACACATGCACTGCAAATTAAAACTCAATGGGCCAATGGAATTTATTCCATTTATGATTCACGGGACGAACGCAACGAAAGATGAACTATGAACTGATTAAACGACCACGCCAACGCCATTGCATGCATTGAGAAAAACGAACGTGGACGATCGGCTTCGTGATTTCGGCATATTACTCTCTGAACGAATATGGATCGGTTTTCTTTGGACAACGCTTTGAAATTCTGAAAACTTATTTTGAATGTGGTTCTGTCATGAGTGAAACATTGCGAAAATTGCGTACAAAATTTGGAAGAAATGCAGCGCCTACCGCGCGTGCAATTCGAAAGTTGGTGCATAAAGTTCGTGAAACTGGGATGCTGGTCGATGCCAGACGTGTGCCGCATACACGTCCGGTGCGTACAGCAGAAGCAATCGCTATCGCTGCTGTGACCGAAAGTGTTCGTCAAAACCCCAGAACATCGACTCGGCGCAGAAGTCAACAAGTCTACTGCCGAGCCAGCCGTGGCCAACATTTCAATGAAATCATTTTCCATACTTAATCGGAAGAAACACTGTAGCAAATAAAGCGAAATTCGTTGCAAAAAAATCAGCTTTTGTTTATGTGATGATCTACTCAAAATCGGACCAATAGATGGCCCACCCACTAATAAAAATGTATTTTCATTTATTTTCTCAGTGTAGTTCTGCCAAATGTCCATTATCAAGAACCTATAAATATTCTTGTGCCTATAAAGATGGTTCCTTGTCTCATATAGTATACAAGTTTCAACTTGTCACTATATTGAATGTTTACTTAGGAATAGTGAATATTTTTCTCCGTGTGAAAGTTTCTGAACCCATGTCTGATAAACCCACAAAACACTTCACTCCCTTCTGAGCCATACTCTGTTTTCGTCTTTTTTTATCCTTCAATGATAACAAAATTTATTATGACGAGCAGCATCATGATATGACAAGCTGAAACATGTTTCAGGTACGTCACTACGACCCTTTGTGGTGAGGCGTGCAGCACCCCAGACTGGGTGATCGGCATGTTATTTTGGGTCGGCTACTTCAACTCCGCCCTCAACCCACTCATCTACGCATACTTCAACAGGGACTTCCGGGAAGCGTTCAAGGACACGCTCATCTGTGCGATGCCATGCTGCTTCACCTGCTGGAAGACTCCGGCCAGGTACCTCTAGCCGCAGGATTTGTCTCCGGGATACTATCGGGACGAGAGGCTGTGATCCTATGTTAGCTCGTTGAATTAGTTTTGCTACCTGTTTACTGTAAGTTCCATAATATTCTCTATATAGTACTGAAATCATTTCATCATTGTATTCCAAACTTTCAATGATGATGAATAGATTGATAGTTTGAAACTTATCTCCAAAACCATTCCCCCCAAACAATTTTAGTGCGCGACTCGATTCTGCGTAAAATTCTCCATCGGATAAGATCATTATTTGACATTTTCGCTGAGGGTCCGAGAAGTATGAATTTCCAAAATTTGTATCTCATATAAACGGAAACAGTCTATCTTTTGGAGAAAATCAAGTAAATTTCAATATCTCAAAAACTATCGACTTTTGCATTATGCATATTAGGATTGAATTCACTCCTTATACTACCTCCCCCATCACATTTTTGAAGGAATGTACCGAGTTACCAGTAACTCTGTACAAGAAACAGGATTAATAATTATTATAAACAAACTTTGAAATTCTAATGAACATGTGATTTTTTTCAACGGCAAATAAACATCTGAATCTTCTGATCATCACAACGACCAGAGTTTTCCGCTACTAAAGAAATAGGACATACTTAACTAACAGAAGAATCTCTGCTCTCTCAGTTCTGGAGATTATATAGTAATGAATAAATGAACGCTCCGTTCTGACATATACGATTCATTGTCACTCTCGGTTTTACCAGAAGTAGAAAGATCTTTGGATTTTCAAATGGAATACCCTATCGAAGCATTTTCGAATTCTGCATCCTTTTTTAAATCCAATGATACCACATAAGTAACATTCCAAACTTCAATATTGATTTTGATTTTCCATCTAAGTGTGTCGGGACTATTCTGATTTGGTATGATTGATATGCCGCTAATTTCATCGTTGAGCAACAAAAACTCTTACCTGCGTTATCACCAAATGGAATCTTGATATTCTTGACAAAACTAAAAAATCAGTACACCACAATTCGAAGAAACATTCGAATTTTCACTTCACTTTCATTGTCGATATTGCAAAAACCAAGGACATCTCCTAGAACGATGCCGTTTGAGACGAAGAATAATACACGATATCACACACAGACACAATCTCTACGATTATTCATACCACCACCAGATAATCCACACAGACCCTTCAATAATATTGAACAGCATTTCATTCCGAATCATAATCAACAACAAAATCAAAACAATCACCAATGTCATGCAGGACAAAGTTTCAAACTCTAAAACAATCATGCACCCAATTCTAATCAAGGCGACTTTCGAAGAGAGTTCAGTCAAAATGATAGACAAAGAGTTAATTTGAACTACAAACTAGGGCAGGAGATGGGCAACCTGACACTAGGAGAGAATACCGTCCAGAACACTCAAGACACTTAGTACCCTCAATACGCTCAGAGATCAATCAACAACCAGAAACAACTTACGCCAACTAATTCCACATTTACATCCCGACTCTCGGATTGAATCTATGTCTATCTATTGCTGCAACGTAAATTTGACAAATATTCGTGAGAGAAAAGTTTTACGTCATACGATTTTGTTTCAAGTATTGAAATTTATTGCATTAATTATTCCCACTGCTCTATACCTGTGAGTTTGTTTTTGATTTGAATAGGAATTGAATGTGCTTGGGTTATATCACATCACCGAATTACGCTTGTGCATGCATCAATGAGATTTGCAAATCATCATTCGTTAAAATCTGGTATCAGACAAGTTGAAAAATTCGAACTGTATTCTACCATTGTTAGAAAATTTGAAGTATAAATATAAAATACACAGCAATGCACTGAATATGACTAAATTCCGTTGACCTCTAGATGATGAAGTGTGGAACACAAAAATTCTTCAATTTGAGGAGAGGTGCCGCTGTACTGAAAACTACCTACTTCGCGAAATCTTCTACGACTGCGCCAATTATTATGAAAAATGGTGTAGGCTGTACTCATCTGAACCAAGTAAACCATGCATGTGTTGCTCTGGGAGTGTGTTGAGTCTTCAGAGTATGATATAACAATTCCATTTGAAAAAGTATCGTTGAGTTGAATCAAGATAAAAATTCTGCAGTTACAATTCAAAGAAAGTATCATATTCTTGCTGATTGCGTCACGTGCTTGATATCTCTGGATTAGGCGATGCAAGTAAATATGAAAACATCCACATACTGGGTGATCAGATGTTGTAGGCTGGTACAGAATATAACTCTTTTCTTCTTGATATTGAAAATTCGAATTAATTACCCATTTTGTACTCTCATGAATGGAATATTCGTGAAATAAGATTTTGTTCCGACAAAATATGCGCTTTTATTAGCAGGCTAAATATCTAACGCGTCTGGTGGAGATCGGCATTCAATGCATACTATGGACTTATAGTCGTTCAATTTCCGGCATATTATGATGAGTTCTCAGATGACGAAAGAAAGAGAATCCTCAATTACCGTTCGATAAGATTTATTCTCCTTTGAGTCATCGTTTTTTTTTTTATTTTTTAGTTGCTTGATTCCATCCTACGAGATAAACGACTCTTGGAGAAAAGTTCCGAGAACACTTTTCCTTATCCATTGAAGGACTCCCAGTGGAATTGATTGTTCCGTCAGGATGTATTGTTGGGTCATCAATAGAACAAAGAACCTTTCTTTCAGAATCAAGGAAGGTTATTGAGAGGCTTTACGGAATGGAAACACATGACTCTTGATGGGCTATTCGCATTTTATGTGAGTACTAGAGTGAGAGAACTTGGAAAACATTTTCAGAGGTTTTTATATTCAATTTCCTGTTTTTTTGTCGAAATGTGACATCACCTTTTGTCAAAAGATCAGACAATTGCCATAGTTATACCCTCAAGAGATAACATGAAACGATACCTACCTATCAACATGGAACGTTTGTATCGAACATCTCTCGAAGAAAATCTTCAAATTTGTTATCATCATACTTTTTTAACATTTCAGAACTTTCTCCAGATTTTCAGTTATGATAATTTGATGAATGGCAATAAAAATCATGGAGTTTAGGGATTTCAATGAGACCTCTGGATTCAAGAAGACAAAAATGTTCACCAAACTATAGTTTTTCTCGAAAAAACTATTCTACGATCATGAAATCAGTTTTCGATTGAAATTGCTACTTTTGTCGATTCATAACTCTCGTTGGGACTTGGACTCAATTGGCAAGATGAGGTGTTGTTTTCTTCTCCTTGAAACCAATTAAATATGTTGATCTGTCCGGATCGCCGAATTTCGTAGATAGGTTGCATGAATTAGTACCATAGTTGTACCTGAAAACAAGTATTCATCGGAATCTCTCATCTCTCAATAATTATATGAAATGTTCAATTGTTTTCAATATATGTTATACTTCAATGTGCTCATATTGTTCTTGATAGACTCTGTGAATGTTGTGATCGTAGTTGCTTCGAGTTTAGACGAAATTAGTCATATGAATATCCTACAGGAAAAAATCTTCTAGGAGCAACAGGACTCGGACTGATTCAAAAATTATGATTGTGTGAGACTGTAGCACATACAGGGTGACCAATCATGACGGGATTCGCAGTCTTGGGATAAATTAACAAAAAAAAATTGTAGATGGTCTGACCTCATTACCAGCACATTTTAAAAATATTTCGCGTTATGCAGGGTGACTCAAAAATGCGTGATTGCTCTTTGTACTCTTCCTTACGGAATGTCTTTTGACAAAAAGTACTCATTGTTTGTCAGAAATGCTCACATATCGCTATGCAAACTTTTCATTTACCATCTACTGACATTCAATTCTAACAAATATAGAATTGGAATCACATTCTGAATTATAAACCACCCTGTAATCGTTCAAATGGAATGTGGAGAGATAGTCAATTGAAGTTGGAATAGGGACATGTTAGCAGGTTTGACAAATAAAGAGTACCGTAGTACTTTTCACACGAAGAATTCAGAAAGTTCAAATATCTCCTTTTTCACACCCCTTATAGTTCAAGCAACGAACGCTCAAAAAAAGGTATAGAGGGAAAGTCTTGGAACACAATTTTTGACTTTGTAACTTTGTTTGGACTAGTAAGAAGATGAACATATCAAAAGTCCCCGCTTGTAGCGCTTGAGCCAGATGGGTGGGGGGGATTTGTAAGGCCCATTGTTCGGTTTTTTGCTTTTATTTCGAAAACTATGCGTCCCATCGACATGACCACTACATACAAAATGGAAGCAGATTGAATTTGCAACAAGTTTTATTCAGTAAAATTTTTTGATATCTTGTATAGTTTTCAAGATATCCACTCTTGAAAGTCTGTGATTTTGGAAAAAAAATGTTTTCTTCACGTTTCTGCTCTTCTTGACCGGATAACTCTTCAACGATCCACCGAAAAAGTGAATGCTGCCCATTGGTTCATGAAGCAATAAATTCTTCTCAATAATAAATAATATAAATTATAAATAATGAATATCATTAGAAGGTATGCCCGAAATGAGGTATCGTGCAATGGGATATTATGCAGCAATCTCTCGACAAATAATTCTTGTGGTGAGGATTGCTTCCTTTTCATCAGGACAGGCATTAACTAGCCCTATTCAGTGAGAGTGAGATGAATAAATCGACCAAGTCAGTGCTGTACAAACTATTCAACACTACGACCAAGGATGTACATGTCGCACAGCTACACATCGTATTTGACGGAGGACACCTCCTCCATAAAGTAATTTGGCAAAGAGGTGCCAATATATCGACAATCTGCGAGAGTTACATCCAATTCATCAAGTAGAACTACCACGGAAAAATATGTACTGTAGTCTTTGATGGCTATTCCTCATCAACCTCAAGCATAAAAGTAGCAGAGCAGTAGATTCGCTATAGACTCAGGAAGTCTGCTGACATCACATCCATTCCACCGAAGACACGGAGATAAACGTCAAACAAAAAGATTTGTTGTCGATCAAATTTCAACGAAAGCAGGTTCATCAAC